AGTTCCTGATCTGGAGCACAAGTTGTAGCTGATCGGCTGATACCTCTGCCACCAAGGTTGCCAAGGATTGGACACTACAATACTCTCACTGGGGGGAGAGATCTATAAAATCAAAGACAACTGTTATTTTACAGTTGTATTTTTTTGCTTACATTTTAAAAACCCTTCATAATTCAAAACCTTCTGTACATATCTAATCTAAGCTCCGAAAGTTTCAAAACATCACATTTATCATCCTATTACGTACAAATAGTGCAGGCGCATTTGTGCAGGAATCATTAAGAATTGTAAACATACCTGAACTCCTCCATAGCCATTTGGTGCCAGGTATCTCTCACATTCTTCAGCTATATCTGCCCACTGCCACTCAAACAGATGAACAATAGAGGTCCTGTTATGTTTAGTGTTTGGGTTGTGCTGGGCAAGACACAGTCCAACAAGTGCAGCCACAATCAGGAGCTTCATTGTGCCTTTGTCCGAAGGAAAACAGTTTAGGGTGAGTGATCTCAGTGTCATAAACACCATCCAATGAATGCTGAAAAGCCATCTACAGATCAAGAGACTACCTTGCATGTAAAGTGCTGTTGTTCGTGCAGTGCTTGAACCAACTGGCAATCTTGAACTGTAATCTGTTGGTAATAATTAATTTTTGTAAATGGTAAAGACAAATGTGTACTTACTAAGCATGTAATGTCTTTTGTTTCTCTTAACATACACACACACACACACACAAACTTCACATGATAAATAATGTCCTTTTTATTTCAAATCTACTTGCTTCAAAAATAAGATTAAATTATTGTTGAAGAATCTCTTCTATTCGAAATCTTGTTACAAAGAAACCGTGCTTTCCACTATTTGCTGTTTATTTTTGTTTCGCAATATTAGTAGTTCTTGTCCTTGGCTTTTCTGAAATTATGCCAAACTGTCATCTATAAAACTGTGTGCTGCCAAATAGCAGTTTGCTGTCAGAACTGGTTCATTCTTACAACGGAGCAATTAAGTGAAATAGTGTATGATTTTTTTTGTGTGTGTTTTATAAAAAAAAATTCATTGTAATGAATTTGTTTTTTAATGAATACATTTGGATTTTGAAGGTAGTTTTTCAAAATTGTATAATGTTTAAATTTAGATAGATAGATAGATAGATAGATAGATAGATAGATAGATAGATAGATAGATAGATAGATAAAAATGAATTGCCTGATTTGTAAAGGCTGTTCTATGTCAATATGACTGATAATAGTCACAAATCAATAAAAAAACGTTATGTCTGTGCCGAATTCACTTGAAATATAATTGTAATTCTAATGTGCCATTTGCCATTGCCCACATTACAATTAATATTTAAATTAAATATTAAAGAACTGCGATATAAATAGCAACATTAAAAATGAAATGTATTAACAGGAATCGACGGATTTTTTAATTTATTAAATGCAATAAACATAGTAAATGATAGTTTAAATGTAATTTTACTTACATGATTAATTAAGCAGTGTGTTCGTGTGGTAGGTCCTTATAGACAAGTAATCTGCCACTTACATGTACTACATGCATTTTGCATATTACATTTCAAAAGCCACTTAACTCCTGGGGATGGGAGGACACAAGTCCGGTAATTCTGCAAATGGAACAGCAGTGTACTTGATAACGTCCGTCAGCTCGCCTTGGCTACTCCGGTTATCTACTGTATGCATACAATACGACGAAATATGATATCAAACATCAGTTCCTCTTTTCGTTTTCATTTAAACATATTAATAGCCACAAAAATGTAGTTCAGGGAACGTATATGCATTAAAGTGAAACAAAATATTATATCAAACAGCATTGCCTCTTTTCTGTTTCATTTAAAGGGGTCATATGATGCGATTTCAAGTTTTCCTTTCTCTTTGGAGCGTTACAAGCTGATTGTGCATAGATAAGATCCCTGAAGTTGCAAAGACTAAAGTCTCAAAACCAAAGAGATATTCTTTATCAAAGTTAAGACTCTGCCACGCCCCCCTAAAACGGCTAGTTCTAACACGCCCCCACATATCTACCTCACT